CAACATGGTGAAACCCTCGTCTCTACTAAAAATTAAAAAATTAGCTGGTTGTGGTGGTGTGCGCCTGCAATTCCAGCTACTCAGGAGGCTGTGGCAGGAGAATCGGTGGAACCCAGGAGGTGGAGGTTGCAGTGAGCTGAGATTGCACCACTGCACTCCAGCCTGGGCAACGGAGTGAGACCCCATCTCAAAAAAAAAAAAAAAAAAGAATAACATTGAAATACTTACACTACGTGTTTCAAAATAAGTACTAAATAAAGCTGTGATAATTAAAACAGTGTGGTACTAGCCTAAGGGTAACACAGATCAATGGAACAGAAACAGAATCAAGTCCAAAAAATAGAACTACACATATACAGTCAATGCTTTTTGGTCAAAGTATCAATGAAGAAAGGAAGGCCTTTTTGTTGAAACAGATGGCTATCTATATAAAGTAAATCTCAACCTCTGTCTTACTCCATATACAAAAATCAATTCAAGATGGATCATGGACCTTAACATAAAACCTAGAATCATAAATCTTCTAGAAAAAAACATAGGAGTATATATTTACAAGCTTCGGGTAAGCAAAAATTTCCTGGACAGGACACAAAAGGCACAAACTATAAAAAAAAAACTGATAAACTACACGTCATAAAAATTAAACCGCCAGGTGCGGTAGCTCATGCCAGTAATCTTAGCACTTTGAAGGCCGGGGTGGGCAGATCACTTCAGAAAAGAGTTCGAGACCATCCTGGCCAACACAGTGAAACCCCATCTCTACTAAAATTACAAAAATTAGTTGGGCATGGTGCGGCACACCTGTAATCCCAGATACTCAGGAGGCTGAGGCACGAGAATCGCTTGAACCTAGTAGGAGGCAGAGGTTTCAGCAAGCTGAGATTGTACCATTGCACTCCAGCTGGAGCAACAGAGCAAGACTGTCTGAAAAAAAAAAAAAATTCTCCTCAACAAAAGAGAGCATTCAAAAAAATGAGTAGAAAAGTCACAGAGTAGGAGAAAATATTTGCAGCTCATGTGTCTGACAAAGAACTTGTATTCAGACCACAGCACAAAACAAAAAGATTTTTTAGACCAAAAGACTGGGGCACTTCAGAAAGGACAATGTATAAATGGCCGGTAAATATATGAGAAGATACTCCACATCATTTGTCACTGGGAAATGCAAATAAAAACCCCAATGATATACTATTTCACACCCAAATGTTGATATGTGTGTAGAACAATGGAAACTTCTTATACAGTGCTGGTCAGGGTATGGCACAACCACAGTGGAAAGTTTCTTCAAAAGTTAAACTTGTTATCTTTCCTATGGCTCAGAAATTCCACTCTTAGGTCAAATTAAAGAGAAAGGAAATCTATGAACATGAAAAACTTGTAAAAGAAAGCTCACAGCAGTCAAAGCTTATAGCTTTTGGATTATTGATACTAGCCAAAAACTAGAAACTACTCAAATGTCTATCACGAGGAAGATAAACAAATTATGGCATATTCATTACAATTCCACAAAAAAGGAATACTGATTCGTACAACATGTGTAAATTTAAAACTATGTTAAGTGAAAGAAGCCAGAGACAAAGAGTACATATATAAGATTCCATTTACACATAAAAAATTCAAGAACAAGCAAAACTAATTTATGGAAATAAAAATCAGAAAGGAATTTTAGATGGAGGTGTAGGGGCCAAGGAATTGGCTGCAAAGAGGCAGAAAGAAACTTAGGGAATGATGGAAATGTTTTCATCTTTATTGGAATTATTACTACATATGTATATACACTTTCCAAATGTAGGCTATACATTTCAAATTGTACATTTTATTGTTTATAATTTTATACCTCAGTAAAACTGATTAAAAAAATTAAAATTAAAATTTGAAAACCTGTCATTGTTATTTAAACCACGTTCCCTTCAGCCTAAAACCATCACCACTATCACAGCAGGGCAAAATGAGATGACCTCCATCTACATGTGAGCCAGGTCACTTACTGAACAGGCCCAGTTTTTCAAACTGTCCCACTAACTTCACAGAAGACTCCATGGGAAATTTCAGGCTTTTAAGTTTTTGTTTTGTTTCATTTCACTTATTACTACATTTTCTTGTTTTGTGAGATGATGTGGACACTTCTTTTTCAAAATTCAGTCCCTTTCTTTTCCCCACCACCAAATTAAATTTCCATGTTTTTTCTCTAAAGAGTATATTTGTTCCCAATCATGAGCAACCATTCCAAAAACCAATAAAACTACTAAAACATTACCAAGTGTGAACAGGAGACAGATAAGTGTTTAGGGTTGGGATATCCCAGCCACACTTCTCTTAATAATCAAAGGGCAGGCATCACCACAGCTTTCCAACTGACAGACATCACAAAATAAGGGCATATACACAGTATTTAAAAAGTATGCTGTGCACAGCTCAATGTTAAGGGCCCTGATGTACACTTATTAAAAATATGAATGGTAAGGCATTAAGTATTTACAAGTAACAAGACATAAGTTACTTTTATTAAAAAAAATTTTTTTTGAGACAGCATCTCACTCTGTAGCCCAGGCTGGAGTTCGGCAGGCCAATCTCAGCTACTGCAACCTCTGCCTCCTTGGTTCAAGTGATTCTCCTGCCTCAGCCTCCTGAGTAGCTGGGATTACAGGCACGCACCTTACCACATCTGGCTAATTTTTTTTCTTTGCATATTTAGTGAAAACAGGGTTTCACCATGCTGGGCAGGCTAGTCTCGAACTCCGGACCCCAAGTGATCCATCCGCCTTGATCTCCCAGAGTGCTGGGATTACAGGAGTAACCAGCTGCGCCTGGCCACAAATTACTTTTTAATCTGATGGAACAGTGAATACAAAAACTATAACAATTATGCCCCATTTTCAAGGACAATTATAAGGCCAACATCAAAGATGCTGTCCTAGATTTAATCTCAATAATCACAATGTTAATGTGATTCAGTAAAAAATTTCAGTTAAAAAATAAGGGGGGCTGGGTGCCGTGGCTCAAGCCTGTAATCCCAGCACTTTGGGAAGCTGAGACAGGCAGATTACCTGAGGTCAGGAGTTTGAGGCCAGCCTGGCCAACACAGTGAAACCCCATCTCTACTAAAAATACAAAAGCTGAGGCAGGAGAATCACTTGAACCCAGAAGGCAGAGGTTGCAGTGAGCCAAGAACCACTGCACTCCAGCCTGGGCAGCAGAGTGAGACTTGGTCTCAAAAAAAAAAAAAAAGGCTGGGTGTGGTGGCTCACGCCTGTAATCTCAGCACTTTGGGAGGCCAAGGCAGGCAGATCACGAGGTCAGGAGATCAAGACCATCCTGGCCAACATGGTGATGAAATCCCATCTCTTAAAAAGAAAAAAAAATTTGAGTGAAAAGAAACATTTATCCAGAGGCAAGACTTGCCTGAAACCCAATCACGTGACAGTAAAGAACCTGGAAAAATCAACAAACATCTTTGAGTGGCCAAGGACCACAAAGCCCAGGCTTGGAATGGGCAGAGCCACAGAATCCCTAATAGCCACCGAAAATGCCCTAGAAAGGCAGATGAAAGAAAATATTTTACTATAAACACAAGTCTGAAATTAGTAAACAGAGAACCAATCTTAATCACGACAATAATTTCTGAGAATACCGTACATTACTTAACAGAATAGTAAATGATGTCCATAACAGTGACCTTGAGTCACCAGGAAAGCATTAGAGTGTGCTCAGTACCCCTCGTCAAAAACAGCACAATATGCAATGTGTTTTAGGAAGGAGTTTTCATCATTTCACAGTTTAAAGTCCTTCACTACACTGATCTATAGAGGTCAGGCATGTGGAACACCCCACTTTCTAATGATGGTGCTCTTATGTGGCATAAAGCACAGCTAGTAGAAAACGCAATGAGAGAAATATGTGTGTAATGATGGCGCTCCAGTATTAACTACCATACCCAAGTACTCTCCTCATCTTAGAGGAGTCGGTGTCAACTCATTTACACTCCCAGAGCCCTTTGTGGAACCATCACATAGATAAAACGGAATTTCTTAAAGTTTTCAAGCATATTTTGAAACCAGGATTTCTTGTGCTATTATTATCAAACATCTTCCACAAAAAAAGCCCATCCTACCTACAGAGAGACAAGGCCAGGACTTATTCATGGGTTCACTGTCACCTACCAGAATCCTATATTGTTTTCCACATTTTAATTAGCTAGTGACTAATAATTCTCAGTTTCTCACTACCTTTCCATCCCCCAAATAAAATAACACCCTATATTTCCACCACAAAACCCTCTTCCTTCTTAATTCCCCACAGCAGCATCGACTGGTTGCCACTCACTGTCCAACGTAAACACCAGTGGGTTGTGAAGTGTGGGAATCTGCAGCTCTTAGAGCTGCATTGTAACCAGAAAATATACAAGTCCTCCTCTTGCTGCCCACTTTGATCAAGAAGAAATATGTTGCCACGCTGGGGCAACTTGCAGATTAGACGCTATCAGTCTTACTGAGGACAGCTGGTAATCCTCTTTCTGTCTGCTTCTTTGTGCCAGACCCTGGGCTTAAGTGCTTTACCCACACTATCTGTTTAATCCTCACAACTGTCCTATGAGATAGGTCCTATTTGATCCCTACTTTGTAGATAGGCAGGCTGTGGCTAAGAGGCTAAGCAACTTTTAACCAAGGTCACACTATTCCTACATAGGGGAGCAGGATTGGAACACAGTTATGACTTCTAAGCCAACACTCTTCACCATACACCAACTGCCTCAGCTGTCATTAACCTTAGTTACATTTATACATCATTATTAAGAGCGTACACTGAATGCCTCAAATTCACTTTACTATGCTTTTGTCCTTCACTATGAAGTATATATCTTATCTTCACATGAAATGGTTATTAATGTGTTAATTTCTTAAAAGCTAGAGTATAAACCAAGGCAAAGATTACAGGTATGGGCAGCCTTTACAATTTGCTGTTTGAAATCACTTTAATACTTAAGTATGTAAGAGTATTACCTGGGGTTACTGTTAGCTGAAAACAATGAAGCTTGTTTGGATCAGGAAAATGCACTTTACATGTACCTGCAAAAGAAACAGCACATCAGGAAGGTCTGGCGGTGAGCAGCAGTCCAGATGACGAGGCAAACCTTTGAACACATGTAAATTTAGTGGTGTTAGAGGGATTCATATGGCTTAGGGAAAGTTGGTAGATCTCCCTCCCTATTTGTCCAATAATAATTGTGCCAATACTCTACAAGTGCAAACCAGTGGTTTTTGTCATGTGTTTTTCTCCTTATAGTCTTTTATTAGTTAATTCCAAATGCAGATGTTTTCCTTCAACCTTTAAATGGTCACTAAATGTAGAGATCTTTCCATTAATTTCAAGAATTATGCTACTGTACTTTAACAAAAAGAAATCATATCTCAGGGAGATTAATATATGCAGGCAAAGACTAACTAAACACACACACAAAAAAACAGGAAAGAACCCAGGTCAACTCTCTTCCCCTAGCACCACAGACATTCAGTCACCATGGTAAATGGAAGTTAAAAAGAAGGGTGCTGGTCAGATGTGGTGCCTTAAGCCTATAATCCCAGCACTTTGGGAGGCCGAGGCAGGAGGATCACTTGAGGTCAGGAGTTCAAGACCAGCCTGGCTAACTTGGTGAAACCCCGTTTCTACTAAAAATACAAAAAAATTAGCTGGATGTGGTGGCATGCACCTGTAATCCCAGCTACTTGGGAGGCTGAGGCAGGAGAATCACTTGAACCTGGGAGGCGGAGGTTGAAGTGAGCTGAGATCAAGACTGCGCCCAATGCATTCCAGGCAACAAGAGCAAAACTCCATCTCAAAAGAAGAAAAAGAACGATGTTGCCCAGGAGTTAGCTCCCACCCAGAGTTTACCATGATAATTTGTCTCTTTAAAAAATACCTTTACTACCTAAGTGGTAAATCGGCTTTCTTTATCGGTAAAATAATGTTCTACTGACCCAGATGGCAATGTTCTGTGCCCACTGATCCAAATCACAAGAGCCCTGAATCAGAACAAAGTGCTCCCCTGGGAGGGGAACTACTGGCTGCTGGTGCTGGCCAGAGAAGTTGGTTGCATCCCATCCCTATCTCCCTCAAACAAATGACACACGGCTAATTACCAATGGAAAAAATACCCAGGGAATCTGGAAGGAATATATATGTAGAAATTTTCTATATCTATAAAATCAGAAAATATTGTGCTAAACTTTATTTTTTTAGACAGGGTCTCACTCTGTTGCCTGGGCTGGAGTACAATGGCATGATTCCAGCTCACTGCAACCTTTGCTTCCCAGGCTCAGGTGATCCTCCCATCTCAGCCTCCTGAGTAGCAAGGACTGCAGGTGCACACCACCACACCTGGCTAATTTTTATGTTTTTTGTAGAGGCAGGTTCTCAGCATGTTACCCAGGCTGGTCTCGAACTTCCATACTCAAGTGACCTACTCACGGCCCCCGAAAATGCTAGGATTACATGCATGGGCCACCACAACAGGCCTATGCTAAACTTCTCAGTTCACCACTGCTAGTGAACTAAACATGGAAAAACCAGGAAAGAATTCAGGTCAAACTTCTACTATGTTCTCCTGGCACCACAGCCATTCATAGTCACCATAGCAAATGGAAGTTAAAAAGAAGGGTGCCAGGCCAGGCGCGGTGGCTCAAGCCTGTAATCCCAGCACTTTGGGAGGCCAAGGCAGGTGGATCACGAGGTCAAGAGATCGAGACCATCCTGGTCAACATGGTGAAAGCCCGTCTCTACTAAAAATACAAAAAATTAGCTGGGCATGGTGGCGCGTGCCTGTAATCCCAGCTACTCAGGAGGCTGAGGCAGGAGAATTGCCTGAACCCAGGAGGCGGAGGTTGCGGTGAGCAGAGATCGCGCCATTGCACTCCAGCCTGGGTAACAAGAGCGAACCTCCGTCTCAAAAAAAAAAAAAAAAAAAAAAAAAAGAAGGGGCGCAGTGGCTCATGTCTGTAATCCCAACACTCTGGGAGGCTGAGGTGGGTGGTTCACAAAATCAGTAATTTGAGAACAGTCTGACCAACATGGTGAAACCCCATCTCTACTAAAAATACAAAAATTAGCTGGGCGTGGCAGTGTGCCCCTGTAGTCCCAGCTACTCAGGAGGCTGAAGCAGGAGAATTGCTTGACCCTGGAAGGTGGAGGTTGCAGTGAGCCAAGATTGTGCCACTGCCCTCCAGCCTAGCGCCTGGCGACGAAGTGAGACTGTGTCTCAAAAAAAAAAAAAAGAAGAAGAAGGAGGAGGAGGAGAAGGAGAAGGAGGAGGAGGAGGAGGAAAGAGGGGGAGGAAAGAGGGGGAGGGGGAGGGGGAGGGGGAGGAAAGAGGGGGAGGGGGAGGGGGAAGGGGAAGAAGAAAGAAGAATAAGAGGAAAGAAGAAGAAGGAGAATGCTGTCAAGAAGTTAGCTCCCACCCAGAGTTTACTATATTTTGTCTTTCTAATTTTTCTGAGTTTTTTTAGAAGACTTTTTATGTTTTTTTAAAGTTTTCTTACAAGTTCCACCAAAAGGATTTACTTAGTTTGACAATGATGTAAGTCTTCATCAAAATCAGGACAGTTCAAATTTCTACGCAGAGGTGGCCTTAGAGACCATCAAGTCCAACATCCTCAATTAAGAGACATGAGTGGAAGGTCCAGAGAGGTTTGGTGACTAGCTCAAGATCACACAGGTTATCAGCAGAAGCAAATCTAATCCCTACATTAACTAGTTCATGACCCCTTGCCCTACTGCATGCCTCATTCCTCTCAGTACTTAGTAACGTGCTAAGACATGGGACACCCGTACATACAAAGAACAAGTAACACAGGACTGTTGGTGGGGTTTCCTTTCCAGTGAAAATTGCCTAGAAAAGCAAGAAGCAGTCTTAGAGGTGACAATGTCATAGTCCTTACTTCAGAAATAAAAAACCTGGGGCCAAGGAGCTCAAGGCTTTCCCAAAAATTACACACTTAGAACTTTGTGTGAAAATACTTAAAATGGGCTTTATTTTTCCTAATTTTAACTTGAAAAGATAAATGCCATCCTTCTAGTGAGTTCTAAAACAAAAACATAGAATTATGATTTGGGAAATGTTTCAACGATTAGTTGACGTTGGTATCATGTATTTGTTTTTAATACCTAGCATTCTCCTTTGTTTTAATAGACAGATGCAGAAACCAATAGCTCCAAAAAAGCTGGCCCACCAAGAATAAAGAAATTGTCAAAGTAGATTAAAAAGCAATAAAACTATGCCAGGCACAGTGGCTCATGCCTGTAATCCCAGCACTTTTGGAGGCTGAGGTGGGCGGATCACTTGAGGTCAGAAGTTGAAGACTAGCCTGGCCAACATGGCAAAACCCCATCTCTACTAAAAATACAAAAATTAGCTGGGTATGATGGCAGCTGCCTGTAATTCCAGCTACTCTGAAGGCTGAGGCAGGAGAATCGCTTGAATCCAAGAGGTGGGGGTCACAGTGAGCTGAGATTGAGCCACTGTACTCCAGCCTAGGGAAGAGAGCAAGACTCCATTTCAAAAAAAAAAGAGGTTAAGTTCTAAGAAAAAAATGTTAACAGTCAGGTTTTTGTTCTAGTTCAATGCAAGGGCTTTATTAAAACTAGAATTAAGCTTTTTTTTATCTACATGTAAGCATGTACTACCTGAGCCTCTAATAATATTTCAGTTTATCTAAAAGAAATATTTTAATTTTTTTTTTTTTGCAGAGAAACTTTTACAAACTTGCGTGTACAAAGCTTCCAACTAGTTCTCAATAGTTACTAAGTGGCACTGATACACGTCAAGTTATTTTGTTTGCCTTTGTAAACATTTTAGGAAGATAATTAAACAGATAGTAAAGGGTTATTCATTTGTGGCTTCCTGTTTTCTCTTTAGAATAATGAGACATACTTTTGGAAAGCATGTCTTACTTGTACAAACTGATATATAACTTACCCCCTCTTTGATTAGGAGAGAAGGTAGGGAGAAGAATGAAAGAAGATGCAGGGAGCGTGCTGTCTTAATATTTGACACCATAGTGATAGGGCTAGGAAGATGTGCCATGATTCCTTCAAACCTAAGGGATGCAGTTACAATCCTGATTTGAAAGCCAGTCATAAAATTTTGTTGTTTTTAAAAGTACAGTCTGTGGGTTAAAAACCAACAATTTCTGTAAGACACAAATCAAGGATGAATGAAACATTTATAAGTGGAAACTTTTCTGTGGTTCTGATTAAACTTCTACATATGTTGGCCATGCACAGTGGCTCATGCCTATAATCTCTGCACTTTGGGAGGCTGAGGCATGAGGATCACTTGAGCCCAGGAGTTTGAGACCATCTGGGCAACACAAGAGTTTCCATCTTTATAAGAAAAAAATAATAATTTAAAAAAATTAGGTGTGGTGGCAGGCACCTGAGGTCTCAGCTGCTCAGAAGGCTAAGTTGGGAAGATCACTTGAGCTCAGGAGGCTGAGGCTGCAGTGAGCTGCACTCATGCCATTGTATTCCAGCTTGGGCAACAAAGAGAGACCCTGTCTCAAAAAAAAAAAAAAAAAAAGTTTACATAAATATACAGGCTCCAGTTGGGGGCCTATGGGAAGATAAGAAGGGAGAGGAAAGCAGAGGAATTATTTTATTTTTACTAGGAAAATGTCTTAGTAAAAGGGAACAGTATAATGAACTCATTCCCCCACTTCAACATTTTGTCAATCTTGCTTGTCTATCCTGTTCCCCACACAGTTGGTTGTCTTCCTGTAGCATTTCAAAGCAAACCACTTCATCTGTAAATACTTCAGTGGGTAGAAAGATAACCTTTTTTTGAGACAGAGTCTTACTCCATCGCCCAGGCTGGAGTGCAGTGGAGCAATCTCAGCTCACTGCAACCTCTACCTCCCAGGTTTAAGCAATTCTCCCGCCTCAGCCTACCGAGCAGTTGGGATTACAGGTGCATACCACCATGCCTGGCTAATTTTTGTACTTTTAGTAGAGAATGGGTTTCACCATTTTGGCCACGCTAGTCTCAAACTCCTGACCTCAAATGATCCACCTGCTTCAGCCTTCCAAAGTGCTAGGAATACAGGTGTGGGCCACCGCACCCAGCCAGAAAGATAACCTTTTAACAGAATGTCAAGATACTGCCTCATTTCCAAGTTGAAGAAAACTTTGAGATCAAGCAATCCAGTGACTTTCAAAACACTTTTGATGGAGATCCACAGTAAGGAACATATTTTATATCACAACTCACTATACCTATCCATAAATTCTGTATGTTAAAAATAATTGGCTGGGTGCAGTGGCTCACGCCTGTAATCTTAGCACTTTGGGAGGCCGAGGTGGGTGGATCACCTGAGGTCAGGAGTTCAAGACCAGCCTGGCCATCATGGTGAAACCCCATCTTTAAAAAAAAATAATAATAATCTTTCGGCTGGGTGTGCTGGCTCACACCTGTAATCCCAGCACTTTGGGAGGCCAAGGCAGGCGGCTCACTTGAGCCCAGGAGTTCGAGATCAGCCTGGCCAAAATGGCAAAAACCCAAATCTGCTAAAAATACAAAAATTAGCCTGGAGTGGTGTGCGCCTGTGGTCCCAGATACTCAGGAGGCTGAGGGGCAAGAATAGCTTGAACTCAGAAGGCAGAGGTTGCAATGAACCGAGATCTTACCACTGCACTCCAGTCTCGGTGACAGAGCAAGACTGTCTCAAAAATAATTTTTCAAGAATCATTACATACTTACCCTCTCAAACTGACTTCACAACCATGTAGAGGATGCATCCCACCATTATCTTTCCAACTTCAGATGGAGGCTGGAATGGGCCCTGTCCTGCCCCATGTCAGAGATCCCTCCACATCCAAACCTAAGTCCTCTCTAACACTCACCCAAAACAGCAGACCCACTTATAAAATATTTCACCATCATCCACAGACAGCCTCAGCTTCAGAACTAATTTTAAAGCAAGTATGATGATAAAAAGTTATAATTCAAAAATTACTGAAATGATCAAAGCTTTCAGACTTTAATTACCTTTTGAAATAAGGGGTTGGAAGAAGATTAATGATAGGGAAAAAAAGAATATATGACATATATTATCCAAGTAAACTGTCTGATAAACGGGCTTTCCGGGTGTACCATGCTCACGAGTGAAGACTGCATGCTGGCCCTGGGTGTCTGGGGCAGAAATGATCAAGCAAGATGGACAGCCACTGATGGCAAGGCAGTACAGCCACCCCTCAAACATGCGGACAAGTTACAAATGAGCACTCTACCAAAAAGCTGGTATCATCCCTAACAAAAATAAAACTGTTATTGATTTATATACTTTTCCACTCAAAGTGGATGTGAGACAGAATGCATGTGGAAGAGGCACAAAACCTAACCAAATGCACCTCTGCTATGCTAAGGAGAGATAGAAAGCACTCAGAAAGATGGCAGAACCTTACTCTTTGTTTTTGTTTTTGTTTTAAGACAGAGTCTCATTCTGTCACCCAGGCTGGAGTGTAATGGCATGATCTTGGCTCACTGCAACTTCCACCTCTTGGGTTCAAGCAACTCTAGTGCCTCAACCTCCCAAGCAGCTGGGACTACAGGCATGTACCACCAGGCCCAGCAAATTTTTTTTTTTAGATGGAGTCTCAGTATGTCACCCAGGTTGGAATGCAGCAGCATGATCTTGGCTCACTGCAACCTCCACCTCCCAGGTTCAAGTGATTCTCCTGCCTCAGCCTCCCGAGTAACTAGGACTACAGGCACATGCCACCATGCCCAGGTAATTTTTGTATTTTACTAGTAGAGATGGGGTTTCACCATGTTGGCCAAGCTGGTCTCAAACTACTGACCTCAAGTGATCCAGCTGCCTCGGCCTCCCGACGTGCTGAGATTATCGGCCTAAGTCATCAGACCTGGCCCACCTTGTTTTTATTAGACACTTGAAAAAATCCTACCTTTTCAAACGAAATTAAAAATAATTCCTAACAAACATGAAAAACAGGTTTTTTGCTATACAAGGTTATTAAAACATAAAAAGTTTTCTTCATGCAATTATTTCACAGTACTTAGTGTTTGGGGATGCTATACTTACAAGGTAAATTAGCTTCAAGTTCTGCAACCTCTGTAGAAACAAAGAAATTATTGTTAATATTAGTTAATTACTCCGCATAAAATCACCAGTTCTAAATTGGCAATCTCCTCTAGAACAATGAAAAAATAAATAAATAAACTGAATGAACTGAATGAAACCTGTTCTAAAGTTTAGATTTTAAGCCATTTAGCTACTTTCAGATATACAAAGTGACTTTCAGAATGCCAACAAATTCAGTCAAAAGTCCTTGAATATTCACTTTAATGTAAACAAAAAAAAATTAAATTAACATAGAAATGACCTATAGGTAGCCAGTCACTACAGTGTTTTTAATAGTGGTTCCAAGTACTGGAACAAATCCTCTCAAAATCTGATCTATATGCACCTGGTGTCTATGTCTGTTCCCAGTGCTATCTTCCAGTTACCCCCTCATAGCTACATTTCCTGGCCCCAGTCCTCTGCCCCAGGGCCTCAGACAACCCAGTCCCTCTTCCACCAGTCACTCATTTGATGTTTAAGCCCAGTACCCCTCTGCAGGACAAAATGCAACCCGCGCCCCCCTCCCACCCACACAATCCTGCTCATCACTTCTATTCAACACAGTATTTATTGGGAATAAATTTAAGGGAATAAATACTGAAAACTGTAAAACACTGATGAAAGACATTAAAGAAGACACAAATAAATATATGGAAAGATATACCATGTTCATGTATTGGAAGAATTAATATTGCTAAAATGTCCACACTACCCAAAGCAATCTACAGATTCAATGTAATCCCTATCAAAATTCCAAAGGCATTTTTCCAGAAACGGAAAAAAAAAATTCTAAAATTTTTCTGAGATCACAAAATACCCTGAAAAACCAAAGTAACTTGAGAAAGAACAAAGTCATAGGCACCATACTTTCTGATTTCAAAGCTATAGAAATCAAAACAGCACAGTACTGGCATAAAAACAGACACATAGAACAGAATAGACAGTCCAGAAATAAGCCTAAGCATATATAAGTCAACTAATTTATGACACGGCTACCAAGAAAACACCATGGGGAAAGCATAGCTCCTTCAATAAATGGTGTTGGGAAAACTGGATATTCACAAGCAAGGGAATAAAATTGGCTCCTTATCTTATACAATACACAAAAAATCAACTCAAAATGGATTAAAGGCTTAAATTTAAGACCGGAAAGTATAAAACTCCCAGAAGAAAAGATAGAGAATAAGTTCCTTGACATGGACCTTGGCAATGACTTTTTAATATCACACCAAAAGCTCAGGCAACAAAAGCAAAATAAGCAAGTGAGATTACATCAAACTAAGCTTCTGTACAGTAAAGGAAACAATCAGCAAAACAAAAAAGTAGCCTATGTGCCAGACATGGTGGTTCACACCTGTAATTCTAATATTTTGCAAGGCCAGGTCTGTAGACAGCTTGAGCCCAAGAGTTTAAGACCTACCTCGGCAACGTGGGAAAAACTTTTTTTTTTTTTAAACAAAAAACACAAAAGTTAATGGGGCATGGTGGTACACACCTATAGTCCCAACTGTTCAAGATGTTGAAGTGGGAGGATCACCTGAGCCTGGGAGGTCGAGGCTGCAGTAAGCCAGGACCACACCACTGCACTCTACCCTGGGTGACAGAGTGAGACCCTGTCTCAAAAAAAGAAAAGAAAAGATGGTCTATGAATTGCGAGAAAATATTTACAAATCATATATTCAATAAAGGATCACTATCTAAAACATATAAGGAACTCACCCAACTCAATAGCAAAATAAAAACAACAATTTAAAAATGGGCAAAAAACATGAATAGATATTTCTCCAAAGAAGAAATAAAAATGGCCAACAGTTATATGCAAAGGTGCTCAACATCACTAAACATCAGGGAAATACAAATTGAAATCATGAGAAATCACCTCACACCTGTTAGAATGGCTACTATCAAAAAGAGGAGAGATAAATGTTGGCGTGAAGGTGGAAAAAAGGGAACCCTTGTATACTGACAGCAGAACCGTAAACTTGGTATAGCCATTATGGAAAACAGTATGGAAGTTCCTCAAAAAATTACAAATAGAACTACCGTATCACCCAGCCATCCCACTCTGGTTGTCTACCCAAGAAAACAAATTCAGTATGTGGAACAGACACCTGCGCTTCCATGTTCATTGGAGCATTATCCATAATAGGCAAAATATGGAAAGAACCTAAGTGTCACTGACAACTGAATGGATAAAGAAATTGTGGTATACATAGTACATATGATGGAACATTGTTCAGCCTTAAGAGATCCTGCCATTTGCAACAACATGGGAAAATCTAGACATTACGCTATATAAAATAAGCCAGACACAGAAAGACAAATACTATACGATCTTACATATATGTAGAATCTAAAGTCAAAATGAAGAAAAAGAAAATGGTGACGAGGGCTTGGGAATGGAGAAGGGGGCAGAATGGGGGGATGGAATATAAAGTTGTAGTTATGTAGGATGAGTAAGTCTAAAGTGCAGCATGATGACTATAGTTCATAATATTGTTTTGTATGCTGGAAATCTGCCAACAGAGTAGATTCAGGTGTTACCATGTTTAAAAAGGTAACTATATGAGATGAATGTATTAATTCACTTGACTGTAGTAAACAACCTACTATATCAAAGCAGCATATTGGACCAGGCACTGTGGCTAATACCTGTAATCCCAGTGCTTTGGGAGGCCAAGTCAGGAAGATTGCTTCAGGCCAGGAGTTTAAAACCAGCCTGGGCAACACAGTGAGACTCCCCACCTCGTTTTGTTTTGTTTTCGCTTTTTTTGCTTTTCCACAACCTCCCAACTTCTAAAAAAAAGTCATGCGTGGTGGCGCATGCCTGTAGTCCCAACTACTCAGAAGTCTGAGGTAGAAAGATCACTCGAATCCTGGAGTTTGTGGTAATAATTAACAATCATCATCCCACTGTGCTCCAGCCTGGGCAACAAAGTGAGAACTTGTCTCAAAAGAAAAAAAAAAAAAAAAAGCTTCCTGTTGTATATCTTAAATATTTACAATAAACAACTAAGAAATTACAAATAAAAAGCTGCAGTTTAGCAGGGCATGGGGAAGGGTACACTCTGAAATGACCGACCTGGCAAAGTCCTCTTGTGCTTCAGACAGAAAGTAGCATGCTCTGGGGTCTTTGGGCCAGGGAGATTCTCTCCAGCTGTGGAGACTAAGGAAGGAAGAGGTTTCTGAGCTGGGCTTTGGTGAGTAAGTAGAATTTAGTCCTGCAGAGTTAGGGGAAAAGAGGAGTACTCCAAGCAGATAAATTAGCAATGTGCAAAGCACAGAGCATGGAAAAGCACAGAAACCAGAAGGCATCCAGTGTGGCCAGAACAAAGGTCCCAAAACAACAGCTGAGCACTGGGAAACAAGGTAGAATAATAGGAACAGGATCATGGAGGGAGCCACCACAGATTTCTGAACACAAGTTTCTAAGCTTTGCCTGAAGAGGACAACTTCAGAAAGGGCAAAGTGGAGGCCAGGTGACCTAAGAGATGGGCAGCAAGCACCTAGCAAAGGCAGGAAAGTCTGGAGGCCTGAGAACAAACAGAAGGAAGAGGTTCTAGCAACTGTCAGTGGGTGGAGGGGGTTGAAGATGGCACCAAAGTGTGATGTCCTGGGAGGTGGGAGTGCCAGGGAGCCACAAGAGACAAAGAGGAAGACTAGGGAAGGAGGAGAAGGGGAGGAAGAGGAGGAGGAAGAGGCTGGGTACACAATCAGGGCAAAGGTGAGGAGTCCCTGCAAAGTGATGCCACCTGTCATGAGACTGGGTAAGGCCAACAAAAGGGAGAAAAAAGTACCTTGGAGAAAGCAGAGGCCAAAGAACAGGGAAAGTTACAGATGAGAACAAGCCGAAAAGCAAGAGAGCCATCAGGAACATGGTGATTCAGTGAAAGAGCGCAGAGCATCCAAGGGGAAGGAGGCCCATGGAAAGGTCATCGGAAGTGGATCAGACCTTGCTGAATGGCATTCAAAATAGCAGGAAAGCAGGAAGAGAGATGGAACCCAGAGTATGAAGTGAAGAAGCAAATGTGTGGTCAAAAGAGAGAGCTACAGGACAACAATTCCTTCAAGTGAAGTGCGGAGAAAAGGCAAGGGGAAGGGGCAATGGAGGCCAGAATGCTCGCAAAGCTGAGTGGAGGAGTGAGAAGGCCAGCTAAGGGCTCTACTCCAAGGTTCCGGGTTCAGGAGACCTGCAGGCCTCTGATCTCAGCTATTTATATGCAACTAAGCACCTGTGTGGAAGCATGTGGCCCATTAAATGCACTCCCTCTAGGGCCCAGGTATGTGGAATGGGCACCATGAGGTGAAGCAGGACAGCAGAGGAGTTAGAGAAAGGGAGAGGCCCACTCACAGTCGCTCCCTCTCAGGGCCAAGACATGTTCTGGCCAGGGCAAACCTTCTCACACTAAGAAAAAGGGCAGATCTCTTCAGCAGAGCTGAGTGTGGGGAGAACAGGAGAAACCGTTCATTACCTGCTTGCTGTGATTAGAAACAGTACAAGTTCTATGACTAAACACAAGCGTGGGAGCCTATCTTCCTGGCAGTCTTATGTGGCGGCCCCTACATTAAAAAATATTCCCTTGACTGGGTGCAGTGGCTCACTCCTATAATCCCAGCACTCTGAGAGGCTAAGGCAGGAGGATTACTTGAACCCAGGAGTTTCATACCAGCTTGGGTAACATAGTGAGACTCTGTCTATACAAAAACTTTAAATATATACATATGTTTTACTTAACAAAATATAATGATGGTGATCCTAGGAAAGGATCACCATTATTCTTCTCATGCCCATACTGATACGTTGGTCTGTCTTTCCAACTGGCCAGATCTTGCCCTTCCTTAGAGCAGTGTGTGAGAAAGACAGAGGGCAGAGGAAGACAACAGAGCCTTGGAACACACCACCCAACGCTGGTCCCCTCTGACAGGCAGGCCCGGTCCCCACTCTGCTCCAACAGCCCACACAGGGCACTCCCTCCACAGGTGAAGAGCAAATGAGTTGTTCATAGTGATCACTTGTAAATAAGGGTTACCTATATATAATTAAACTTGATCTTAAAGCAAATACTAACATTTTATTCTGTATTATTTATATTTTGTTGATTGGAATTTACAAGAAACTATTCTTGAGGGCCCTTCTTTTAAGAGATTGATGCTGGCCACTGGAATCTGGCTTTCCAGGTCTTGATTCTGCGGCAGTGGCCCAAGCCACCTCAGCAGAGGTGATAACTCCTGTCATCCAGCTTGTCCTAAGGGAATTTAGAAATGTGCCCAGAGGGCATGGTGATCGACTGTATCTCAAGCAGAGGGGCCAGCCAGCATGACAGAAGCAAAGGTTCAAGAGGATAGTCTAGTGCCAAAAGAAGAGGCAAAGTCTGGGCACAGAGGGACAGTGAGGAGTGAGGCCACTGACCAGTGCTAGACTGTGATGTGGTGGGGTGGAGGAGTGGGAA